AGAGAGAGAGAGAGAGAGAGAGAGAGAGAGAGAGAGAGAGAGAGAGAGAAGGAGAAAGAAGGAGCCTCCTTAAACTAAACAACCAACAAAATACCCCAAATTCTAATTTTCCTCTGCAGCAAATTGAGAAGAGGAAATCTTGGGAGCAGGATTGGGTGAGGGTGTCAATGCACCCCTGGCTACTTGGTGATATGATGTTCAGACTTCCTTAAAACAGGTGGTTGCCGGGCGGTGGTGGTGCACGCCTTTAATCCCAGCACTCGGGAGGCAGAGCCAGGTGGATCTTTGTGAGCTCAAGGCCAGCCTAGTCTACAAAGCGAGATCCAGGAAAGGCACAAAGCTACACAGAGAAACCCTGTCTCAAAAACAAAAACAAAAACAAAAACAAAACAAAAAAACCCCAAAAAACAAAAACAAAACAAAACAACAACAACAACGAAAAACCCAAAAACAAGAACAAGTGGTCTAAGGAGATTCTCGCTTAGAGGGAGCAGAGCCAGTAGGGACTGAGGCTTTCTGCAACAGGCCCCAGGACAACTCACTCATAGGCCAGCAGTGATGCCGTAGTTCCCAGGGTGGAGAGCAGAGCTGGGAACCGGGGAGGCTAACAGCTAACTAGTAAGTGTCTAGGAAGGGGACTGGCCTTAGGGAAGAGCAGCGAGAGGTAGCAGGGCATGTTAACAGTATGTTAGAAGTGGGCAAAGTGAAAATGTTGACATGACTAAACAGAAGGTGTTAGCATGCATAAAGCTTAGGTTCAAGTCCTCATGTCAATAAAGGGAAAGGAGAGGAGGAGGAGAAGGTAGGGGAAAGAATGAAGAAAGAAAGAGGTGACAAGAAGGGGAAAGGCAGAAATGGATGGGTGCTGATTGCCGACAGGAAACCAACAAATAATGTCTGGAATTAGAATACATAGAAACTTAAAATTCCAAAGAATGGTCATGAGTTCCTAGTCAGGTGGGGATTGGAGGGTTTGGCAGGGAAGCCCTCCTCTACGGTCTGGATGAATTTAGATGTCTAAGGAACTGTACAGAGCCTCAGATACTGAGGGGGTAAGATGAGAGTCAATTATAGAGACTGAAGCAGGCACACATCCATGGAGGAAGGGAAAAGAGCCCAGTTACTAGAACCTAAATTCTTTTTTTTTTTTTAATTTGAGACAGGGTCTCACCTTGCAGCCGTAGCTGGCCGGAAACTCCCTATGTAGCCCAGGCTTGTCTCAAACTCATAAAGATTCACTTGTCCCTGTCTATCAAGTGCTGAGACTGAAGGTGTGCACCACCACCGCCTCAGCTGAAATTAGAGATCAACTCAGAGCTATCAGCAAAGGGCTTGCCTAGCATGCATAAAGCCTGGGGTTGTTGGTCTCTAGCACCAAAATGAAACAAAATATGTTAAAAATTACTAAAAAATTAGTCTTGATGACTTATAGATGGAGAGCTTAGATTTCCCTCTGATTCTTTTGTTTTTTTGAGACAGGGTTTCTCTGTGTAGCTTTTGTGCCTTTCCTGGAACTCACTCTGTAGCCCAGGCTGGCCTCAAACTCACAAAAATCCTCCTGCCTTCACCTCCCGAGTGCTAGGATTAAAGACATGCGCCACTGCCGCCAGGCCTCCCTCTGATTCTTAACAGACCACATCCAAACAATAGAGTTTGGATTTTAAGTGTCTCCCAAAGGCTCATGTGCTGTGGGGAAGTGGTAGAACCTAGTCAGAGGAAGGTAGGTTATTGGCAGTGTACCCTTGAAGGACAGTGGGACTTCTGTCCTGCCATGTGCTTTCTGGTTCTTTTAAAACTATCTCTCTCCTGGGCATATACCCAAAGGATGCTCGATTGTACCATAAGGACACTTGCTCAACTATGTTCATAGCAGTAGCATTATTTGTAATAGCCAGAACCTGGAAAAAACCTAGATGTCCCTCAACCAAAGAATGGATAAAGAAAATGTGGAGCCAGGCAGAGCACTCGAGAGGCAGAGGCAGGTGGATCTCTGTGAGTTTGAGGCCAGCCTGGGCTACAGCGTGAGTTCCAGGATAGGCTTCAAAGCTACACAGAAAAACCCTGTCTTGAAAAAAAAAACAAAACAAAACAAAACAAAAAAAAAGAAAGAAAGAAAAAGAAAAAAAAGTGGTACATTTACACAATGGAGTACTACTCAGTGGTAAAACAACAACAACAACAAACAAAAACAACAACAAAAAACCAATGACATCATGAAATTTGAAGACAAATGGATGGAACTAGAAAAAAAAATCATCCTGATTGAGGAAACCCAGACCCAGAAAGACAAATACAGTATGTACTCACTTCTAACTGGATATTAGCTGTAAAGTAAAGGATAACCAGGCTACAATCTACAGACCAAGAGAGACTAGGTAACAAGCAGGGCCCAAGAGGGGACATGTGGATTTCTCTGGGAAGGGGGAATAGAAGAGATCTCCTGGGTGGACTGGTGGAGATGGAAAATTGAGAGGTTGGGTGGGTGGAGGAGGCGAGTACTGAAAGAGATGACTGGAAAGAGGGGGAGCATTTCAGGGTAAGGTAGAAACTTGATGCAAGGGAAACTCCCAGGAATTCATAACAATAGTGGATACATAGCCTGAACTGGCCACACCTGTGATCAGATTGGTGACTCTCGCAATTGTCATCAGGGAGCCTTCATCCAGTAACTGATGGAAACAGATACAGAGATCCACAGCCAAACATTAGCCCAAGCTGGGGAAATCCTGCTGAAGAGAGGGAGGAAGGATTGTGGGAGCCAGAGGGGTCAAGAACATCACAAAAAACCCCCACAGAAACAACTAAGCTGGCTCATAGGAACTCACAGAGTCTGAACCAACAACCAGGGAGCCTGCATGGGACCAACCTAGGCCCTCTCTCTATATAGAACAGTTGTATAGCTTGGTCTACTTGTGGGACTCCTAACAACGGGAGCAAGGGCTGTCCCTAATGCTTTGGCTGGCTCTTAAGAATCCATTCCTCATACTGGGTCGCCTGCCCAGCTTTAATACAAGGGGTGGGGAGGTGCTTAGTTTTACTGCAACTTGATATGCCATGCTTTGTTGATACTCATGGGAGGCCGGCCCCTTTCTGAACAGAAACAGAGGAGTGGATTGAGAGGGGCGGAGGGAGTGGGAAGGTGGAGGGGAATGGGAGGGGAGGAGGGAGGGGAAACTGCGGTCAGGATGTAAAATAAATAAGTAAATAAAATATTGAAATTTAATTTATTATTGTTACTGTTTGTGTGCATAGAGGGAGGTTGCACACACGTCATGGTGTGTGGAGGCCAGAGGACACTTTCAGGAATCAGTTCTCTTCTTCCACTTTGGTTCTGATGCAGGATCTCTCCTGTTTCTGTGATGCTGATTACTGGCAAGCTAGACTGAGAGCTGCCAAGTGATGCTCCTGTTTCTGCCTTCCACCTCTTCATATGAGGGCTAGGATTACAGACACGCACTACTATATCTGGGTTTTTCTGTGAGTTCTAGGATTTGGACTCAGGCCACTAGGCTTACAGGGAAAGTGCATTGACCTGCTGAACCATCTGGCTCACCTGCTTTTGGGATTTAAAACAATCTTACTTTTATTTTAAGATTATATTTTTACTTATTTATTTGTGTGGACATATGTATGCCATGGTGTGTATATGGAGGTCAGAGGACAAGTTTCCAGACATGGGTCTCTTCTACCATGTGTGCACGGGCTCATTTTATGTCAACTTGACACAAGCTAGAGTCATCTGAAAGTGGGGAACCTCAGTTAAGAAAATGCTTCCATATATTCCGGCTGTAGAACATTTTTTAAAAAATTAGTGATTTATCAGGGAGGTGTGGGGTCCCACAGAGGCTCCCTATTAAGACCTTACTCATGGTCAGAGAATCTGAGCTTGCTTTGCCCAGCAGGGCTGCATCATGGGATGATTTGGCTACAGGCATGGTTACCAGGTGTTTTGAAGGGTCTACACTTGACTGTACATTGTGCTTTGATCTTGAAAGGGGGAGGTCTTTTGCCTTGCCCCTTGGCATTGTATAAAAAGCCCTTTGGAATAAACCTTGAGACTACGGGGTATTGACCCAGGGCCCTCCTGAAGCTATCCTGTGTCTGTCTTTCTTGTCTTTGTCTATATTTCTATCTAATACTTCCTCATTCCTCTCTCCTCCCCTCAAGAA